AGCGCCGGCGCTCCGGCGATGCTCAGGGCACGTGCGGGCAGCACCCAGCCCGGCGTCAAAGCAGCGCCGCCCGATTAAAAGGGATGTCATACCATCACTGGGAAAATAATAGCAGCCATGGTGGACTTGAGGACCCAGAGCAGGGCCAGGCACAGCAGCTGGATGACGGTGAAGAGGTGCACGCGGCGCAGGGGCACGTGGCGGAGGTAGGCAAGGTCTGGCTGGTGCTTGGCTGGCATCAGGAGTAGCCGCACGCGGTCTGTGAGCTGTAGCGAGAGGACGGCACGTGATGGGTGTCACAACTCCAGCTTTCAGGCGGCTCTCACCCAGCCCCCTGTTGGGACCGGGGCTCGCGGGATGGGTTTTTGCCATTGTTTTTGCAGTTCAGCCCTCCTGCCATCTGCGCTGGCCGCCAGCGTGATGCCTGGGTGGGTGAGTTTGTGTGCAAGACCAGGGGTCCTGGTACCACCATCGCCCCAGGCCAGGGGAGCGCTTTCCAGGCAGACATCTAGAAAGGACTCAAGCTGGTCTTAAAGGGTTAACTGAGAGATAAGAAGCCCTAGATTCCCCTCCCTGCATGCAGGAAACTGCTGCGCCTTTGCCAGAGCGCAACCCCGGATTCCCCAAGCAGAGGGATGGAGGGAGGGGGTTTCCCAGCCTGCCATCCAGAGCAGGGTAATTGCCAGGGAAATGTACTGTTTAGAGGAAAAAAAGGGGCAGCTATTTCTGGAGTGGGGATTTTTTTTTCCCCTCCGTGGGTTTCTCAGGAGAGGAACAGAGCTGGTACATCAGTGGCAATGCCAGGACCAAAGGACCAGCAGCTCTGCCTGGAGCTCCCAGATTGGGATGTCCCTGTGGCTTTGAGAGCAAGTCTGGGTTATCCACTGGTCCCTCCACTTCTCCCAAACCACCTGATCCATCAGTGCAGAAGTCGCTGGTGCTCCTCAGCATCCCAGACACCTCCCTTTCCCTTTCCTTTGCCCCAGAAAGGTCCCTCTGTCCCTCCTTGTCCTGGGCCTGGGGCGGGACAGACCCGTGCCAGGCTGCACATCACACAGAGCTAAAATCCAGGCTCTGCTGCTCAGTGAGAGCTGGTATCAAGCAAACCCCCCCCTCCCCAAAACAGTCCCCACCAGCACCCCCGGCGCAGCCCCCGCTCACCTGGATGCTGTTCAGCGCTGCCACCCCCATGTGCAGAAAGACCCCGTACAGCACCGGCATCGGGATGTGCTGCAAAACAGCAGGGCGAGGGGTCAGCGGGGCGAGGGGTCAGCGGGGCGCGATTCCCCGAAGGGGCTGCGCTCGCTGGGCATCCTCTTCTGTATAAAAGCCTGCACACATGGCCGCAGCATTCGCTTCCTCAATTTCCAGCAGCCCGGTTTAATTTCATGGCTTTCTGCTTATCGTATGGCTTCGAGGGCTTTAAAGCCCGGATGTGCTCCTGGCTACGCCGCTTATGTGGGGACATCGTGGTCTTCAGAGGGGGGAAACGTGCGCCGAGTTCCTTGCCCTGTTTTCCAGCATATGGTGGGAGCAACCCAGGCTGGAGGTGGAGAACACAACGCCGAGCCACTTGGAGGTATGGCTTATGGCTCAGGATCTATAAATGCCGGGGGGGTCCTGCTTCCTCGGCATACTGCTTTCCTTTTTACCCCCTCCTCTGCAACCGTAAACTGGCTCCTGCCCTCTGTGTTGCTCAGCGTGGTTTGGTTTTCTCCCAAGCCCGGGCAGGCAAGGAGGGAGACGGGGGTCCCTTGCTGCTCCCCATGGATTCCACCAGGAACACGGGGACTGCCCAGGGCTGGGTCAGCTTCCCTGGCATCACACAAGGGCCGTTTGAGAGGAAGCATTGATCCACACGCCCGAGGCAGGAGGTAACTGCTAGTCCTGGGGCTGCCGCAGGTGTGGCGGGGGGGATTATAAGGAGAGATGGGTCCTTGCGTGAAGGACCAAGCCAGACTGATCCTGGGGCTGGGGAGGCAAGAAGAGTTGTGCTGGGGGAGGCTCCCAAAGCCCACAGACACCCCTGTATCTCACCACCCGCTGCAAAGGGAGAGGGAGGACCAGGCAGGCTTGGTCTCCACTTTCTCCACCACAAAATCACAGAAGGGTTTGGGTTGGAAGGGACCTTCACACACCAGCCAGTCCAACCCCCCGCCGTGGGCAGGGACATCTTCCACTGGATCAGGTTGCTCAGAGCCCCGTCCAATCTGACCGTGAACACTCCCAGTGATGGGGCATCCAGTACTCCTCTGGGCAACCTGTGCCGGTGCCTCACCACCCTCACCATAAAACGTTTCTTTCCCATGTCCAACCTAAATCTACCCTCGTTCAGTTTAAAACTGTTGTCCCTTGTCCTGTCACGACAGGCCCTGGTAAAAAGTCTCTCTCCGTCTTTTCTTATAAGCCCCCTTTACACACTGAAAGGCCGCAGTACGGTCTCCCCAGAGCCTTCCCTTCTCCAGGCTGAACAACCCCGACCCTCTCAGCCTCTCTCCACAGCAGAGCTGTCCCAGCCCTCGGACCATTTCGGTGGCCTCCTCTGGACCCGCTCTCACAGGTCCGTGTCCGTCTTGTGCTGGGGACCCCAGAGCTGGACGCAGTGCTCCAGGGGGGTCTCAGGAGAGCAGAGCAGAGGGGGACAATCCCCTCCCTCGCCCTGCTGGCCACGCTGCTGGTGATACAGCCCAGGAGACGCTTGGCTTTCTGGCCTGCAAGCGCACAGTGCCGGCTGATGTCCCATCTGTCACCCACCAGTATCCCCCAAGTCCTTCTCCACACGGCTGCTCTCAATCTGTGCATCCCCCCAGCCTGTATTGATACTGGGGGTTGCACCCACCCATAATGTTTCCTTCCCTCTCAGTTATATATATTCTTATTCTGAGTGGACTTTTCTCCTATTTGAAAAAAGAAAAAAAATGGGGGGAGGATTTTAAAGCAAAACATAGTCTTTTTTTCTTTATATTACCACTAGCGCTGATAATACAAATCTCATGACAAGAAGTGAGGTGCAATCTGATGTGTAAAGAAGAGAATCAACTTCACTCTTCCTTAATCATGCTATTGTGCATCATAGAATCATTAAGGTTGGAAAAGGCCTCTAAGATCATCGGGTCCAACCGTCAACCCAACACCCCCATGCCCACTAAACCATGTCCCTCAGCGCCTCATCTACACGTCTTTTAAATACCTCCAGGGATGGTGACTCCACCACTTCCCTGGGCAGCCGGTTCCAATGCTTGACAACCCTTTCGGTGAATAAGTTTTTCCTAATACAGATCAAATCTCCAATGTTTAACCACTCTTTCAGGAAAGAAATTTTTCCTCATGTCCAGTCTAAACCTCCCCTGGCACAACTTGAGGCCATTTCCTCTCGTCCTTTCGCCAGTTACTTGGGAGAAGAGACCGACCCCCACCTCGCTACAGCCTCCTTTCAGGTAGTTGTAGAGAGCGATGAGGTCTCCCCTCAGCCTCCTTTTCTCCAGGCTAAACAACCCCAGCTCCCTCAGCCGCTCCTCATCAGACTTGTTCTCCAGACCCCTCACCAGCCTCGTTGCCCTTCTCTGGACACGCTCCAGCACCTCAACGTCCTTCTTGTAGTGAGGGGCCCAAAACTGAACACAGTATTCGAGGTGCGGCCTCACCAGTGCCGAGTACAGGGGCACGATCACTTCCCTACTCCTGCTGGCCACACCATTTCTGATACAGGCCAGGATGCCATTGGCCTTCTTGGCCACCTGGGCACACTGCCGGCTCATGTTCAGCCGGCTCATGTTCAGTCCCATATCTTTCCAATTTGGAGGTGAGAATGTTGTGGGGACCGTATCAAAGGCTTTACAAGGCCATCCTCAGAGATGAGGACAGAGGTGGAGGAAAAGGAACCTCCTGCCTGCCCCCACGTAGTCCAGATGCGGCCAGGGTACACTGGGGGGGCTCTGCCTAATGTGGCAGCAGTAGACCCAACCCCAGCCAGTCTCGGCCCCCCATGTGGCAGTGTGGAGGGGTGTGTTTGGGGACCACAGGAGACCCCGATGCCCACAGGGAGGCTGGCCAGCTGACTTGGGGCAGCAGTGCGCTGGTGTGCCGGCTGCCCTGCAGTGCTCAAGCCAAACCCTTTGCCCAGCCCCTTCCCACGCAGCACGCAGCTCCCTATGTGCCGGCCAGGCTTCCCGTGATGGATCGATGGGACGACGGACGGTGGGGTTAGAAACCCCCCAGCCTTGCAGGATACGGCCACTCCCCTGCCTTGGAAAAGAGGCCAAACCCAGCAGCCAGGCTCCCTACCTTGAGAACGGGTGCCATGAAGACGGAGACCCCCGTCAGGATGAAGACAGCCAGGCCAGTCAGCCTCTGCTCCCTGTGGGCAGCAGAGCAGGTGTCATGGGTGCCCGGGGTCCCTTGGGAGCCCACAGCCCCCGCCTGCCCTCCCGGCCCCCGGGGTCTCTGATCTTTTCAGCTTTGATGGCCACGGGGACCGGTGGCATCCCCAGGGAGACACAAGCAGCCCCAAAGCTGGGTCAGCATGTGCACGTCCCTGCCCCCCGGCTCTGCAGCCACAGGCAGGGGGTCCCTCGGAGCGGGGTCCGGGCTCATTGCGTACCTGATGCCCAGGAACTCGGGGTGCTCGCCGGGGGCCGAGGTTGCGCTCTCCTTCCTCAGGCTCTCCATGTGTGCCAGGGAGATGACAGTAGCCGAGACGTACCAGGGGAGGCCGGTGGCGGAGGTGACGACCATCAGGAGGGAGACACAGAGGAGGTCCAGGTGAAAGCCTGCTCCTTTCTGCAACGGGAGAGGCAGTGGTGCTGGGGGCGAGCCCTCTCCCTGGCAGCATCAGAGGGAGGTCTGGCCACCTTGCCAGCTGGTTCCGTGTGCCGCCCTCCCCTGGCTGCCTCCTTGGCCCATAGGGTCCAGCCGGGACCTGGGCCCTCCCTGTTGGCCCCTGTCCCCCGCTCACCTGCAGCTTGTACTCCCTGCGGTTAAGGATGACGGCCGTGATCTGCTGGTCCATGAAAATGAGGATGGTGACAAGGACGGCAGGCACCGCTGACACCAGGCAGACCCACCACGGGTTGGCTCCAAAGGGGAAGACAATCCAGCCCCGTGCTGGGTTCGTGGGCTGTGGAAAGCAGAAGGGTCATGGCAGCCGCTACCCGCCTGTGAGGTCTGCGGTGCAGCTGGGGGACGGGACCAGCCCCAGGCGCCCAGGCTGGAGCCCTGTGGGTACCCAGGGATGCTCCACCTGGGGAGAGGAGGAGCATCCTCTCATCCTGGGGATGCTCCTGGGCAACGTGACCCACCAGCCCCCCACAGGGACACACTGGCTGTGGCGGAGCAGGAGGTTGCTCCTGGGCACCACAAGCCGGGAGCCGGGCACGTGCCCCCAGGAGTGGGTGGAAGAGGTGGCACTGGGCGTTGATGATGGCAAGCCCAAGGAGGTGGCGGCGAGTATGGGCTGCTCTGAGGTGATGCCAGCCCCGCTCCACACCCAGGGCGGGGAGCCCAAGCCTGGACTTGAGCTTGTGGCTCTCGCTCCAGCATGAGCTGTACCGTGACGTGGTTAGTCCAGGCCCGAGCCAGGTTGTTTACAGAGCATGGGATCAGCTGTGGTTCAACCCCTTCTTGTTTGCTGGGGTGCAGCCCGCATCTCTATAGGGCTGGACCCGGCAGTGGGAAGGACAGCAGCAGCACGGTGGGATGGCCACTGTGGGGGGCACAGACCCACGCCCCGACAGCGCCATGCCCACCCCGCTGGCACCTTCAGCTCGCTGGGGACGAGGAGCTTGGGGGTCTCCAAACCCAGGGTGGCGTCAATGGCGCAGGAGCCGAGGATGGCCAGGATGATGGCGAAGTCGCTCACCAGCTTCCGCACCTGCAGATGGAGAGGGCTTGGCCTGGGCTGGCCAGGGCGGGGTGCTGCCAGGATGGGTGGCACCCAGGATGGGTGGCCATGCCACCAGTGTGGCCGAAGGATGCTCACCCCTGCAGGGAAGTAGCGGCGCTTGAGCGCGGTGCAGGAGAGGAAGGTGCCCCCGAAGAGCAGGAAGGAGACGAGGGTGACATCGGGCACATACTGGCAGCTGGTCCCTAGGAGGTGCCCACCTCGACCCAGGCACTGGGTCCTGCTCAGCCCAGCTGGGGCGGCAGCAGGCTGCGGGGACAGGGCAGGCAGTGAGGAGGGGTCACGCACAGACACCTCAGGCCCACCCCAGCCCCTCGCCCACCTGCCCGGGAGCCCGGGCTGTACCTGCTGGGGAACCAGGGGCGAGGGGAGCATCGTGTCGTTCCGTGCAGAGCTGTGACCTGCAAGGGGATGGGGCGTCAGGGTGCCAGGACCATGGGGATGCTCCTTCAAGGATGACTGGGACCGTGCTGCCATCGGGGCAGCTCCCCAGGCTCTCCCCAAGGGCTCAGGGTGCTGGATGGGGCCCCATGGGACCCCTGAGGCCCCGGCATCGGCTGGTGCCAAGGGAACATCAAGGGGGGACACCCCTGCGAAGGGCTTGGCTCGGAAGCACCAGCCACTCAGAGGCACCATCAGCCCCAGGCTGTGCCCAACACGGATGCTTTTGGTACATGGTGTGGGTCCCATTTGCAGGATCAGTGTGGACACGTCTTCAGGCCGCAGGAAACACCCTCTGATTTACAGACCAGGCTAGAAACAGCACTGTAAACCCACCCTGGTGCCCACCTCCAGCCCCTGGCATCCCCATCCCAGAGCCACGGGAGCCGGACCAAAGGTCTCCTTGCTCCCGGCGCTGCCTTGCCCGGTGCCTGGGCAGTGCCAGGAGGCAGGGACGGATGGATACACGGGATGGAGGGGAGTGGAGGAAGGTGCCGATGTGGTCGGGCAGGCGAGGATGGGATTGAGCAGCCTCCTCTCCAGCGTCTTCCCCCATCTAGCCGGTGGCAGGGTCCCAGTGGAGTCCCAGGGCAGCAGCGTGGCTGCTTGGGCTCACCGGGGCTGGACAAGTTACAGACGCAGCTGTAGGAGGTGACGTTGTCCAGCCGGTACTGCCAGTTGATGGGAAAGGCGTCTGCCAGGCTCAGCATCTTCTTCAGGGAGTCGTAGATGAATATCAAGCTGATGAGGGCGCAGAAGCCTTCCTCGGTGAAGCGGGTGAAGTACCGCACCAGGTGGCTGGCCTCGGTGGCCACCAAGACCATGCCAAAAAAGGCCACCCAGAGCCCAATCCAGAGGCGAAACTCCAGGTAGTCCAGGCTGTGGTCCCTGGTGGGAAGTGTGACCCAAAGCCTCAACAACAACACCCGCCTGGCGTGATGGTGGCCCGTGCCCCAGCCAGGTGACAGTGGCCCGAGGAACCGTCCCTGGCAGGGTACTTACTGGCTGAAGGAGAAGAGGAGGCGCTCGAAGACCAGCACGGGGCCGGTGCTGCTCAGGATGGTCAGGGGCTGGCCGGAAAAGAGGCAGAAGATGGAGCCAGCAAAGGCCGTGCCCAGGAAGCTCTCCAGCACGCCCTGAAACGCAGGGGAGGGGTGCCAGGCGCCAGGCACGTGGCAGGGAGGGGGGGCCCGGGCCTGTCCCCCGCAGCAGCACAGCTGCAGGCAGCTGCCTGCACCTCCCTGCACTGCAAGGTGCAGGGTCAGCGCTCGGGGACTGCAGAGGCCAGGGAAGGACACAGGACTGGGGTGATGCTCAGGATGCCCCGGCGGCACCGCTGGCTCCCCAGGCACCGGTGGGAGGTGGGCACCCAGGAGACCCGCGGGCTGGGCGGAGTGGGGTTGGTGCGGGGCACCCCATGGCTGCACCAACCTGCATGTTGGCGGTCGCGTCCCCCAGCATGCCCCCGAAGGTGATGGCATTGGTGACCGTCGCCAGGTAGATGTAGAGCACTGCCGAGAGGCACTGGGGGTGCAGGGCGTCGGAGAAGTCGCTGCCGTACCACGGCGCCTTCCTCCGGATGTCTCGCAGCAGCCCCCCAAAAAGCCTGGGGCAGTGGAGGGAGATCTCAGAGCAGCCCCCCGCAGCGGCCATCACCCCTGAGAGAGCTGCAAGGCAGGGGACGGTCCCTTCCCCAGGAGACACCAGCCCAGAGTGGTTTGGATGTGGTGGCCCCATGTGTTGGGGAGAGCCAATGCCCTGCCCCGAATACTGCATCCCACTGCACCTCCCACCACCCTCGTCCTTCCAGGCACCCACCTGCCCGTCCTCTCCAGCTCCTCCCTGGAGCACGGGTGCCCCAGGCCGGCTCTGTCCCCAGCTGCTGCCGTGTCCCCGTTGCCGTGGGACTGCCGATCCGGCGGGTGCATGGCGGTCCTGTGGCAGACAGAGCCTGAGATGACAGGCTTCAGGTTGGAGCCCTCAGGACCCAGCTGCGTCTAGGGGACACTATGAGGGGACAGGGAGGATGGAGAGGGGACAGGGGTGCAAGCAGGGCTGGGGGGACCTCATGTATCCCCTGATAATGAGGAGGAGGAGAAAGATCAGGAGGAGGAGGAGAGATGGAGGGGTTGGACTAGATGATCTTCAAAGGTCCCTTCCAACCCAGCCATGATCTCCTCCAGCAAGCCCTGGAGCCAGCCCTAGTGGGACTGTTTTTGGTGGAGGAGCTGGGCAGAGCCGGAGGTGTCCTGCTCGGAGGATGAGTTTCACATCCGAGTGCTGAAACCCGGCATTCCCAGCAGCTCTTGCCTGAAGGGCACGCGGGGTGGTTTTGCCATCCCCTGCCAAGTGGGACAGCAGAACTAACAGCAGCAGGGAGCAGAGCTGTGGTCATCAGCCAGAGCTGCAGAGGGGCTTGGCTGGGAGGACCTTACTGGCAAAGGTTGTCTCCTGGGTTGCTTCATCCCCATGGAGATGGAGATTTCAATGTCACAGGCAGAGGTCTCCACCTGGGACCCTGCAGAGGGGCTGGCAGAGGCTGCGGGCGCCCTCCCTCCAGCCTACCTCCTGTGCGGAGACAGCAGACAGCTCGGTGGAGGAATTCGGGCACTGGGGTCCCATTTCCTGGGAGGAAGCACAGTCAGCTCATCCAGGAACGCCTCCATCCCTGCGATGAGGTCCTCTCGGTGCTCAGCCTGTCGGGCAACCCTTTGGAAGAGCTGGGGGGAGATGCCGTGGATTAGCCACCATGTCCCTGCATTCAGCCACTCAGAGCCTTCCTCACAGCCTGCAGTCATCACCGAGAAAGGCACCCATCCACTTCAGTGCCACGGGTGCACCTACATCCTACAGACCCACCCCAAACCTTTGTTTTCTTACCCTGGGCAAGGGAGGCCACCAGCTCACCCCATCCTCTGCCTCCCCCACTGCAGCCTGCAGAGGAGAGGAGCCCCGGTCTCCTCAGCCTAGGCCTCATCCCAGGCCCATCCCACCCACGGGTGCTGCACCAGGCTCACCTCATCAGTCAGCAGCGTGGCCATGGCCCTGCCAACCTCATGGTAGGCTTTCACTTCAGCTCGGGGACCCAGCAGAATGAAGAGGAACCTGCGGGCAAGACAGCACATCTCCTGAGCAGCCCTCTCCTCGCCGGGGGATGCTTCTCCCGGGGGAGACCATGGTGCTGCGGGGATGCTGGGGATGGCGGCTGGACAGGCTTGGGGGGCTGCTGCCACCCTAAGGGGCGGCCACCCTAAGCGGGGGGTCGGGGGCAGAAGACAAGACACGTGTCTGCTGCCCGCTGCATGGAAACCCCACAGGAGACCATGGGCCACCAGGACCCCGGCTGGATCACAGGGTCTGCAGAAACCCGGGCTGGGAGCAGGGGGGGACGGGACAGGTCTTTGGGGCAGAGGAGGAGACATCCTCGGCTGGGGCTGCCTGTGGGGTCATGCTCATGGGAAAGTTGCTCGCAGGCAGGATGCAGGAGCATTAGCATCCAGAAGGAGAGGCTGCCAGCTGCACGGGCAGCAGGTTTGATAGGACTATGGTGACATGGGAGGAGATTGGAAAGAGGGCTCAGCGCCCTTGAAGAAATATGGCTAAAATCCCACACCTCAGAGGGTGCTGCAAAATAATAAGGTCTCCAGAGGGACAGCCCATCCAACTATTTAACCAAGCTGTCCACTCCTTTCCAAAACTGGCAAAAACGGTTACAGTCCTGGTACCCCAAGGCTGTGGAGTGGTTCCAGTGATCCCCGAGCAAACCTCTAGAGAGGGGGTAGGGAAACTCCTCCGGCAGCATGAGCGGGGCTGAAGGTGGCTCGACAGAACCTGCTGCAGCCCTGACGTGGGGCATCAGTGCTGGAGGCCTCCTGGAGCCTGCTCCGAGGGGTCGGGAGATGACGGTAACCACCTGGGATTGCTTTCACCCAGGCATCTTCGTCAAGGCAATGGGAAAACTTTAAGATCCTAGAGACGAATCTGGGTGGGAGATGGCCCCGAGACGGTGGCTGCGGCCATGGGACAGCCTGGGGCGGCCGGCAAAGGGAATGGCACCACAGGCAAAGGGATGGGTAGGGACAAGCTCTCCTTCCCCTCCTGTTTTGGGGAGGAAAATACAGGGCAAAGGGCTGTCGTGAGCCCCTCAAGACCCGTGGGCACTCCCTGGGGACCTGCCACCCATCTCCCACCAAGGAGAGAACAGGAGGTGGATGGATGTCCTGCTCCACCCAGCTCCTGGAGGACGGGTGCTCTGGGCAGAGTGACCAGGAGGTGGCAATGTCCCTCCT